GTTGCAATAAAACTCAGCTGATCATCCCACGGAGTACCTTCATTCTTGGACCACGTATTTCTGTCTTTGTTAAATAAATATTGCCATAACAATTATTATTACTATTATTATTATTATTTTGTGTACAGTGCCCTGAGACAACAGTTGCTGTGACTTGGCGCTACATAAATAAACTGAATTGAAAATAAACAGCATCGACACCAGTCTTAAAACAACTGTGTCAGTCGATCTCCCAACAGACCATTCGTTCAGTTTAGAGGTACCAATCTAAAATTTAGTGAGGTAGAAAGRCCCATCTCCATAAAATTTGAGCACAAACAAGTTTTTGTTTTGCTATTTAGAGTCTCTCTGTCTGTCTGTTTGCATTTTTTTTATGTACCACTGGATAGTTTTCATTAAAACTTTCAGGAAATAATCAGTGGATGTTAAATCCATCTAAAGATGAGAACTGTGTTACAGAAAGAGCTAAAGTCTGATGTGATAAGTGAGTCATTCACAAGATGGAGATGGTGATTTTTTTCAAAGTTTGGCCAAAGTGGCCACAACTCAACCATTTCTCCTCATAAGTTTAAAAGTGAGGCATGAAAGGCAGCAGATCTGATCCCTTCAATAAATTCTAACCCTTCATGTTCTTGTTACTGTATTTAAATAAAGTTATATTTTGCCTGTCTCTGCTCCAACRTTAAGGTGAAACTTCACTCAGAGTGAATTCTGCAGCAGAGAAATGAAAAAGCGCACCTATCTTTGACATCACATCATACTACTGACCTGCCGCACGGAGGACCAACCAGTGGCTGAGGAAAGCCCCGCCGCCCGCTCGGCCGACCAATCAGCGAATAGCGTGAGCTCTGCTCACCGCCGCGTCGCTCCTGATTGGCGGATCGAGCGGCGGAGTGGGCGGGACGTCAAACCTGCCAATCAGAAGAAGTGCCGTCTTTCTGATGAGAATAAATCATTCAGCAGCTGCCGGGTGCCGAAACTCTGACAAACTCTGACCCGGGGCTTCCTGACATGAAACAGTTTTCATACCTGTGGTATTTTATCAACATTTAAAGTGTTATTTATTTATTTATTTTTAAAGATGTGGACCTTCCTGGGAGTTGCAACTTTCACTTATTTGTATAAGAAGTCCAGCGTGGTTCTGGCTCTGACCCACACGGAGCTGGTTCTGGTTGCGGTCCTGTTCCTCGGAGCGGGTCTGCTGCTGTCATACCTCAGCTTTTACCGCGGCTACAGACACTTTGTGTCTCATGTTATTAATTTACCTTTAAACGTTTTGTCTTTTGTACCTTTTTTGAACCATTTACTTCCCCAAACTGCAACACGGAACGGCAAGAAAACACAGAACTTAAAAAGGGTAAGAAATAAAACTTTTATAATTATTTATATTATTCATTCTGTAAACTTTGTGTCTGATAGTTTAAAAGAACATGAACTGATGGACTCTGGRATGATCTTTATTTCTTTGCTGGTTTCAGAATAAAAGAACAAGAAGCAGAGTGGGAACAGTGACCTCAKCCTCTGAGGGGCCCCTGAGCTCCTCTGTGGCCCCGGAGCCAGATGTGGTGATCGTCGGGGCGGGGGTCCTGGGCTCAGCCATGGCAGCTGTCCTGGCCAGGGATGGCAGGAGGGTAACAGTGGTGGAGAGGGACCTGAGGGAGCCTGACAGGATAGTCGGGGAGCTGCTGCAGCCTGGGGGGTACAGAGCCCTCAGAGAGCTGGGACTGGAAGGTTTGTGGCCCCTCCTTTCAATGCCTCATGTCAACTGTCTGACACTGTTTGTTGGAGGTCTGAACCAGCTCATTATTTCTAATATTTAACAGTACAGTCAGGAGTAAACTCAGGCTGATTTGCTTTAACTTTGATTGTATGGAGTGGGCGGGGCTTAATCAGCATTTTTAACCACAAATCACAGCTGTTTATCTGTTTGCAAAAAGGGCCAGATTTAACCTCTAATTCTAATTATTTACAAGATGTTCACTCAATACGATAAGTAGATCGAATTCAGGTTTGGCAATAGAAATCAGAACTTTTAAGCAAATGAACTTGATGTTTTGCGTTCTGTCAGACAACGTGTGCAGTTTGAGAAGATTTACAGAAACCAAATTARTTTTAAAATTTACTGCAAATGATAGTAGTCATTCAGCTTTTTATATTCAGCCATAAAAAAAGGAAAACAGTAGTCCCAGATGTGTAAAACTAGTATTTATGGTGACACAGTTCTCTGGTATGGATCACAACCCTTCAAAGCTTTTATTTTGAAGGTCAGAATGTGAGATTGCAAACTGCGCTTTTAACACTACTTAGTTTTTTTTTTGCATTCATAATTGTTAWGGCAATATTTATTTAACAAAGACAGAAATACGTGGTCCAAGAATGAAGGTACTCCGTGAGATGATCAGCTGAGTTTTATTGCAACAACAGGAAACACAGAGAACAACCTGGCCTGTCTCTGTGCCTCTGCTTCTCTCTGTCACTGTCTCTCCACACTACTGTTGAACATTGTGTCTGGAGAGGCCTCATACATACGGTATATATT